TTTTAATCGGTTACCTATTCTTTTCGATTCCGTCATAATTCTTTGTTATTGAAATCATACTGGTTTTCAGTGTGAATGGCTTCTCCATTCGAAAGTAAGATTGTAAGCTTTCATCCTTTGAGCTTTGGCTGTCTTCACTGACACTGAAATTCCGTATATATATTGTACATTTTTTATAGAAGTGTGTGCATATTTTCCAACTTTGACTTTCACTCAACTCGACGTAAAATCACGTGTATTTGAGTCGATTTGTACTCCCACTTTGATAAACAAACAACATTGATTCTTGTCCGGGGCGTTTATTTAAATTGTATGAATTCAACAACTTGTTGAATGTTCTGCATTTACTATAGCCATAAGCACGTGATTTCAAAGGAGTGTGAATGGATAAACGGTCGTAAATTCAACTCATCGTCAGCATAATGTGATGATTTTTGTTAGAGGGATGGATTTGAACAAATTGAGCAATGTACTCTGCGTTAAAGAGAGAAGGAAAAATTACAAGCAAAATGTGCGTTGAATAAAATAAAAAAATTAAACCGTTTTGTTTGTTGAAATAGTTTTAATTTACATTTTAAAAAAAATCGTATAAAATTTAACAATTTGATTTAACAAATGAACAAAACGGAACACAAATAAAGAGAATCATTTTCTATTTTCAATACAAATTGAAAAGAAATCTATTGTCTTTCATTTTTGAGCCGATTTTTGTAGATTGAGTTAAGTTTGTGTGTAAATGCTATCATGTTCATGGGACCGCATTCAAACGTAAAATCAAGTTGTTGTAAAAATGCTGATTGTTTAAAGTAATCTGGAACAAGTTCATCCATTTTGGAAACAGTTTTACAAATAAAATTCTCCCATGACTCTTCGTTGCTGATGTTTTTGATGGCACTTTTAAAACACACAAATTCTTGCAATTTCCTTGTCAAACTTTTAAAAGTTGATATTTTCTGTGGCCGTGTTCTTTGTGCGGTGTTTTTTCCACTTTGAATGTGTCGAAAATATTCGCGTAATGTGTTTTCGACGAGGGCAAGAAATCGATCCGGTACATCGACACAATTGGATGGATCAAACTCTGTTTTGAACACTTTATAAATTGTACTTTTCTTAGTAACGCAAAGATCATCTGCATTATTAACTCCTTCATTGATTGCCTGCCAGGCATGTCGTTCCAATTGAATATAAAAAAAGTTGCGAAAGCGTGCAAACTGATCGAGCAAAAACACTTCATTTTCAATGTCGGGAAAATATGATTTCAGCAGCGACGAATTCGGATATCGCAACCAGAAAAACATTAATTTCGCTTTTTTCACGTGCAATGCTGTTAATTGTGATGGATTCATTGTTTGAATTTTTGAAATACTTTTCAAATGAATGTTTGCACAAAAAAAATGATTTTTTTTCTTGATATTTTAGTTTTAAAGTAAATTTGCGCAGTGGAATGCGTTTGAGCCAACGGCTAATAGAGAACTAAGGTGCGCAATTGAAAACATAAACATTCTCGAAAAAGAATTTGTTTTGAACATTTGCACTCCAACAAAACAACAATTATCAAATTCCATGAATGCAGGCGAAGATGAACTTTGGAGTTGCTGTACCTTGTTCTTTTTGCATTTTTTTTGTTTAAGACTTTGCATGTGTGTCCAAAATATTGAAATATATTACCACCTTCACTGCGTCTTCTCTATTTTTCTACCTGCGAGATGTCATTTTAGTTAGAATCCTTATATAATTCATTTACGTTTAGATTTTCGTGTCTTCTTTCTGTCTACGACATCAGCTGTAAGAGACGAAAATGTCAACAAATCATAGTTTTCAGGTAAGTTCTTTAATATATTTTGCATTTTTCTAGTTTTTGTTAGTAAACAAAGATTAAGAAATCATCTAGAGGGAACAAATAACACAGAGAGAGAGAGAGAGAGAGAGAGAGAGAGAGAGAGAGAGAGAGAGGAGGAGGAGATGAGAATACCAATAATAGTCATCGATTATTTTACAATCAGCAATATATGTAAAAGGTTTACAATACTTACTGTTTTACTCGTAGTAACAGAATGGACATATGTTTTAATGCGTAGAAAACAGAAGTTGAACTTTGGATACGAACAAGTGAAATGCAAACAAAAATATTTGCATCGTCGCGACAAAAGATTTTCAACATAAATTACCATTCAATGGAATTGTTTTCTTATTTTGGTCATTGAAATTTCGAGGTAAACAAACGAATAAATATATTTTCAAGTTCAATTGGTCGGCAAAAGTATACATGACAGTGGGTTTAAATGAAAAATGGCGAATAAAATGTTGTCTGCGTTGGATTTTTTTGCGTTCTTCTTTCGGCCATTCAAGAAATTCCAAAACGAATATCGAAGCGGATTAAAATGATTGCTCTCGCAAGAGAGATATATAAAGTGTGCGAATAATGTTAACTAATTAATACCGACACAAATTCACTAGTGAAGAATTCGTTGTCAGCATATTTTCGTTTTGGCATAAACATTCCGTTGCGAGAGAGGTGGTGCGTGAACACGGGTGTAAATTCGATGTGCTGTTATGTATACAGCCCGTTTAACTTTCGGTGTCTCGCATTTTTTGTCGTTCGCGTTTTTCGAGCCGATTAAATGCAAATAAACAATATTTCACATTCGTGTACCTGTAGCCAAATACCAAAGTGTCGACTGAACGACCCTTTTTCATTTGACGTCGCTCAAAACGAATGCATGCAAAGATTTAACTTTAATACACATTATACACTTTTACTTTTCGCCCCTAATGCGCGAACATGAACGAGAAAAAAAAGCATACGATTTCTTTTGCTTAAAAAAAAGCATTTGAAATAACAAAACCATTTCACTATAATTCAATGATGGATTCGGAGATGCGAATGAAGAACAAGAGTGAAAAAAAACGATGTGAAATGGAAGAAATACACTCCACGGGTTTTTGGGTCGATTTGCGTATTTATTTTTATTTTTCTTAATAAGATCGTGTTGATTTATACAAGAAGCGTGCATGAAGAATTATTCGAAAAGTGGGATGTTGGATTTTCGTTTAGCACAACGACCACCGTGATGACGGTGATGCTATTGGATCGAAGGGAATGAGATTTTTTGTATTCGAATGAAATGAATGGGAAAATGCGTGCTGCTGCTGTTAAACGGTGCTGCGCGCTCAATGGGGTGAAGAAGTGTAAATTTACACAATTTAGCTTGTTATTCTTTTGCGACCGAGTGTTTTGTGCAACAATAGCCAAAATTTTATTTGAATGTTGGCAATTTCAATTAGCCGAACGTCTCAATGTTCAACGAATCATAATACGAAAAAACAACAACAAAGTTTTGGGCTATGAAAAAAACGGGATCATCGTCTACACCATCGTCTACGGTTGATGAGGATATGCAGCATGTTTATCGTTCGATTTGAACTTTTGATGACCATTAAACAGTTGCAACATAAATTAGCACCTCGTAATCAACGATATCCGTTTCATAATCAGTCTGAATCGGGATTATAAAAGCATTTTTTTCGCTTCTCTTCTATTCTCTTATTTTTTTCTTCATCATCATCATCGCCATCACCGTTTGAAATGAGCATTTCGTTTTCTTTGAAAGATGGTTATTTCGTTCTAATTTTAGAGAGTGGCAGCAGGTATTTGGCCATTACAAAAGAGAAACATTGAGTTGGTGTTGGGTTCAGCTGGTTTCGCATTGCAAACGAATAAAATGCATTCTCTGGCTAAACGAATGAAGATAGTGAGCGTACGATATGGATAATCCCTCTTTCTTAAGTACAATTTAACACTTTTTGCATTTAATATTCGCATCGTTCAGCGTTTTCGTCTTGAATCCATAGTGTGTTCTCGGTGTTCGTGTGTGTGTATGCATTGTTAAATCCAAGTTTGTAGTCGGTACAAATTTATTTCATAGTAACATGTATCGTGTTTCTTATTAGCGTTTCAATACACTTTATGTGACCGTACGTCGATCCCAAAAGCGCGCGCGAAAGGGACGATTCGCTTTCTTTCGAGCTCCTTGGCTTTGCTTTGTTTTGGTTGTGTGTGCTCTTTTTTTGAAATGCAACCGGGCGCTAAAACGGTGGAGTTTCAAATGCTATAAAATCCCGTTATATTCCGTACAAAAGGTTTTATGTTGAATCAAAATCACAGTGAAAATAATAAGTAATAATAATATGAGCCACCGAACAAACCAAAATAACTAGCAAAATACGTATAATAATGATAATAATAATGTACAGTGGATTTTATTATGTATGCTATCGAAGCGTTCTGTGTGTATAATGGATGAAAAAGAGAGGGATCGCGCTTTTTCTGTGGTACACACGCAAAGTTGGTGAGTCGTCAAACGCGACCAAACCACCAAAATCCCAACAACAATTATACGTTTTCACTTTATCCATGCAAGTTTATGACTGTTAGAGGTAGAAAAACCTCTCGCACACACAAACCCATACACATTCACAAAGTGTACCTGTTTTCTCTTGAGTGAACGCAAGCGGTAATTTACCGAAACACACACACATTGAAATTGTGCATTCAGAAGCGCACAAGTTCAAGAGAACCAAACACAGTGGCATAACAACAACAACAATCACAGCACAAATCTACACAACAGCAACGAAATAACAAGCCAAACAGTAAATATACATTTGATAATAAACGTGCCAAAGAACAGGGTAGCACGGCAGTGGCCGTTTGTATTTTGTATTTGATATGCCAAAGAAATGTGCTTTCGAGACGGATTTGTTATCCAAATCTATTTCATTTGACAACAAAACGCATGCGCTTGCCGACTGAAATGCCACGCAAATTTTTTCAAATAAATTTGTTTGAATTTTAAAGTGAACATTTCAACAAACTCATGCACTCCATCCATATACACACTGTCTGTGCTAAACGCGAGCTCGTTCTCTCAGTTGCTCTCAACAAGAAACGTATATACATATAATTCGAATCACCACGGCACCAACAGCCGAGGCTTGAGTCAAAATCCATCCAAATACGAAAATTTGAATAACAGTTTTTCGGTAACGTGCAGCGCTTGCAATTGTTATTAACGTTTCATCCGTCGAAGCCGATAGTCGACTCATGGAGACGATCACTCTCGCTCAGTGTGAGTGAACACGCGAACCGCTTTCCAAGCAATTTCAAATTGAATTCAATTGTAATTTCAAAACGACTAATAGATACTTTTTTTTTTGAAAGGTGAACAAAGACACAAAATAACAAATAAAAATACACGGCCGGATGTGCAGTGGCATTACAAAAGCAATAACAACATCATCAACAACAACAAAAAAAATCTCAGTGGATTCTGTTGATATTCGTAAAAAGCGAGAATTTTCAGAGTTGTTTTTTTCCCAAAGAATTGGAATATTCGGCTGCGGCAAACAGGAAAACAATTCAAATCCTTTGTTTTTCATTTACATACATGAAGTCGAAAGTTCAATACAAAAACATACACAAACACCGTGATTTTTTCTTATTCGATTTATTTTTGCTTTTTCAATCTCGTTGAATGCATCACGTAACGTATTCAATTTGCTTTTGGTGAATTTCATTTATGCAAATTCGAAACGGGTCCGAGTCGATAAATTTGATGTGCTGTTCTATCTCATTTGGCCAAAGCACTCTATACTCACGATTCACTGCTGGACCAATAAAACCGTGTTATTTTGTATGGAAAATCGAGCGTGAAAAACTTTTCGAGGAAACAGAATCACAAATGAGCGCATCACGTATCAGCTGTATTCATCATTGCAAATAAATCAAGTGTCAACTGAATAGAATTTAATACAAGCGAAAAAGGAAAAAAAAGAGCAACACACCGAACAAGAAGAGAAAAAAACCTAGTAAAAGAGAAACGAGAACAAGGATAACGAAGAATAGTGTGACGTAGCTCATTTGCCAGAAAGTGATCCTTTTGCCTTCAAGCTCTCTCTGCACTGCATCTTTTGCATTGGAACAACGTGATCCTTTCGTGTATCATTCAACACTTTAAATCTTCGTTTTCCTTCATCATTCTTGGCTTTTGGCTGAATTGATGTTGGCTTATTTCTTCGCGTTCGTCGGTTTTCAAAACTTGAAAATTTCTTCATCGTAGTTGTTATTGTGTGCTGCCGCCGCTGCCATCGCCGTTCTTGTCGTCAGTTCGGTCCGTGTCATTCAGTGCATTGTGCGATTTTAAAGAGAAACCCAAAAAAGCGTGCGGTATTTGTGTTTTAGTGAAAACTCTCTCGGTCTTTGTGCGGCTTGTACAAAATTCCAAAGTGTGCAACCGTCAGTTGAGTGCAAGTGTTGCGAACATCGCTCTTATTTATGTGTTTTATTGTGTGTTTTTGATGACAAATTTTTCCATGCCATTGTGAAAAAAAAACAGACGAAGCAAATATAAAAAAACACTCCGGTGTATGTATGTGTGTGTGAGCGCGGGCTCACTTGTTACAATTGTTCGGGCGCGTATTTTTTTCTGCATTTAGAGCCGTTTTTCTATTTTATTTACCATTTTAAATCTTTGCTCGCTCATTTGTTACCCCCCATTTCAACCATTATTCGTCTCTCTCTTCCGCACTTTGTCGTCATCGCAAAACTTGTCGCGATTGTTTTTTGTAGTGTCGTTTTCAACCGCAAACAATAATAATTATGAGGAAGTTGTTTGTTTATTTGATTTATGTGTTTGCGTTAAAATTCTGTGAAACTCTGCCACCAGATATGATGACAGGTAAATTTATACGATTATCATCTATAAATATAAGAAATGCTCCATTTCGTTCTTTTTTACCCTCTGCATTGTTAAAAATCGCGTACAACATTTACGACGGTTCATTGGCGAGATAAACAACAATCTACTTTGAACTTTTACATCGGCACAATTTACCGAAATCTATTGTGTATGTCATCCATTGTTTGATTTAATTGCAATTTTAAGCCAAGTTTTGTAATCATTTATATAATGATTCGATTTGTAAGATCGAATGGTTTTTTTAGTTGTTTTTTCGACTATTTTCATACCAAAAATAACAAATTTTCATTAAAATATGTAGAATTCTAAAATGGAATATTATTTTAGAAACAAACACTTTCGAAATTCTCTTAATTAACCTTGAACTCTCTGGAAGAAACCTAAAAAAAATCAGCAATTAATTTAAAGTAAATTATTATTAAGATCAAGGTACAATAGATCAAACAAACATGGAAAAATGTTTACTTGTTGTTAATGATGGTTTATTTACCACTTTGCGTATAGTTAATACCAATTTCAATTTAAATGTGTTGAAAATGCCAAAGATTGATTTAAAATTCGAATTGTGTGTTTATGCGTTTCATTTGCGTCGAAGAAAAAAAACAAATTGGTTTTGTTCATTTTCTCACTCCCACTCCATATTTGATTCATTAAATTATTGTGTAATTTGAATGAGAAATCAAATGAATTCATTGCTGCGAAAAGAGAGAGAGAGAGAGAGAGACCAAAGCGTAAAATTCTGTGGCAAATCATCAGAAAAATTTATATCGGCAACAAGAAATAATCCAAATGAAAACATAAAGGTTTCAATTTCAATTCAATGATATTTAATGGCATTCGACGTCGATGTTTGATTATGGTATTCAATCAATGTTATTAAAGCTATGGTGCTGCAACAAAAGACAATGGCAATAATGTGTTGCCCGTTCGAATTGAACAACTTATCATTTCCAGCATATTTACCTTATTAAATTGCACGAAAGTGTAGAATCAATGCATGCGATTCGTCGACTCGGAGTCAAATGGAAAATTGAATTGATAGAGAGGAAAAATAAAGAAGAAGAAGAAACAGCGGCAACATGAATGTGAGCAAAAAAAAATTGTGTATAAAAAAGAGAGTAAAATCGCCGTAAAACGAATAAATTGGCCCGAACGATAAAATCAGATATCGTATTACTGTCAGTTGTAGAATACGAGTTATGGCCTGAATCACAACAAACAAGCTGAATGCAAATTATATATGCCAAATCTTTTGGAAATTTTTAATAAACCAAATACGAATATTTAATTTTATGTTTTCTCTTTCACTCACTCTAATTTGCTCGTTGATCGCCTCGTTCACTTGCTGCCACATTGGCTTTGCAATCAATTCGGTGTGTTTTTTTTACTCTTCTGTGTGCACAGTGGTCGATGTTCAGAATACCGCAGCTCGTTCGGGTGAAATATGCTGAATCGCCAGTTTATCGTTTTTTTTCCACACGCCAAAAGTTAACAAAGCTAGAGAAAAAAAACACAGACACCAGTGATGGCAGTGGCAACAACAACAACAGCCAAACCACCAAAACCAAATTGGCCAGAGAGTGAAAATCATTTCAACCGTATGCCATTTAGTGAGGTGAATGAGTGCACACACACAAATCGTTCTGTACAAATAGTGTGCGATTTACATTGGGGAACAAGCGATTCATTTCAAACAGGTTTACAAATCAGAATTTAATAGGCTTCAACCGTTTACCGGCAATTTAATACAGTTGATGCGATGAATGATGATGACCTGCCCGGGCGCGTGATTGTGTGGTCGTACTACGAAATTTATCTTCCACCCTCTCGAAAGTGTTGAACACTCTCACTCCATTTCTCATTCTCTCTTCTGTTCTCAACAAATGAATTCAAAATCGTGCAAAAGTGGATAGGTTTTTGTGCGCATTCAATTGAAACAAAGCCTTGGCCACGAATAATACACTCACCTATTCGAAGCTCAGACCGTAACATGTCGTCCATACTGAGAAAAAAAAATCTTCATATAGATAAATGCCGCCTTTCATTAAGCCCAACCATTTTCATTCGAATTGCTTAACTTGCTGATTCGGTTTTTATTCGCGGTGCAAAGCAGCAAAAAAGCGAACAACAGCGTTAACAAACAAGTACCGCATTGAACATAATACCAATTCAAGTGCTCACCAATTCAAATTTAAACAAATATTTGATTATCACATTAATTAAAGACACGATGCCAAGCGTGTGCTTTTTAATGAAAAACAAAATGCAATGCACGAACTACATCGAATACCATTTGAATGGTAATCATTTATTTAAAATATTTGCATTTTCATCTTCGTTCCGAATTTAAATCGAGGATAAAGGAAATGTGCATCGATGTTTGGACGACTATAACATCGTGTAGGACAGATCAAATTGGTAACGATACACCATCAAAATGTTAATTCCACGCAAATTGTGTTGGTTTCCACCCAAACAGAGAATTATTTTCGTATATTGCGTCTAATTTTTTTTTCGGAGCTAAAATATCCCATTTTGCGAACGAAATGACAACATAAAAACGGTAATTTAAAAATAACTCGCTAAAAATCATAACCTATCCATTGATATGATTTATTAAATTTCTACCGTCTTGTATTTAGCGTCGATATGAGCGGCATTTCAAATGCTTTATTACCCTTATACTGTGTGAATCAAATACATAAATACATGAACGCAAAAGCAACAACAGCGGCAGCAAACAACAAACTACTAGGCACCTCGTGCAAACCTCAAGACTTACATACATCCACATGAAATAATAATAAAAAAAACTAATGTTCGAATAACAAAGAGCGCCCGAAAAAATATAGGTTCGGAAATAATTCTTCCTTTTGTCAAGATTAACCAAAAAAAAAGAAGCATAAAAATCGTGTACAAAACACACATATGTCATAAGCAATTTTTTTGGAATTTTCACCATTTACACCGGCGAAACACAATGAAAATGAAAACGATTTTTTTTTCGGCTCTTTATGGTATTGCAAGCAAACATACATATACAGCTATATGAATAAATGACACGAATCTTGCACTTCAAACAGATTGAAAAATGGCCAAGTAAGGCAAGAGATGTTGTTCTCTCTATTCATTCACATGTTCAAATTACAAGATGTCTCCGGCTACATATTGAATAATTCATTTGATGCATCGTTGCTTATAATTTAACTCAGACTGACATTGTGCTTTGTGCATTCGACAAAAGCAACTCTTTAGCAGCTGTGCCAAAGAAATGGGTCAGTCTAATGATCAAGTAAAATCATATGTGAATATATATCGTCTGAATTCTATTTTATTTGTTCGTTCAAAACATAATCATCAAATTTATGATTTTTATTTCCTTCGCTTATATTTTTTTCTTTCTGTTCGTTTATTGTCGGCACATTTTATTTTTCGGCAATGAAAGTTTGAAAACGAAGCAAATTGCTTGCAAAATGTTTTTATACAGTAATTGTGTCTCGTTAGTGTTTAAAGATGGTTGGGTGTTGTGGTTTGCGAAGAGCACGCAAAGTCGCTATTTGGTATGGAAAATAGATGGTGAAACAGTAACCATTGACTGTCACACATGATTTGCCGTCACACGAACAAAATTCTTAGCGCGCTCAAGACAATTTTCCACCGCCATGTTCCCATCAAATGTGAAAAACGATAAACAGAGACACGAATTTTACTCCAATTTCCATCAAAAATTATTAAACTCAAACCCACAACCGAAAATAATAAAAGAAACAGAACCGTTGTGTATAGTTTCTTGCACATATGGTTCAACGAACGGTATTTGCTTCATTGAGCACATGCTGAAAATAAGATATCATTAACTATCCGAAGAAAAAAAATATCTACATAACAAACTTTCCCCGTTTCAAAAGGGATCGGATTTGGTTTATGCTCGAACTTATTAAGACATGTGGAATATTTCAAACGACTCCGACATTTATAATGGTGAACAGCACACGATTTGCATGTATTATTTTATGCATTTTATTCTGTTTGTCTCGTAGTATATAGGTGAATAAAAATTCCCCGAAAAAAATGGATTTTTATTTAGTGTGCGTTTTGATATGGCTTTTTCTTTTATTATGGCACATCGTTGCAGATAGAAACAAGTTTTTAAATTCTTCTTAGAGAAAGAGAATAACTAAAACGTATATACCATTCAAAAAATGCTTTTGATTTATTTGAATGGAACAGAAGCGGACGATGATGATGACGACGACAACAACAACGGAACACCAAATGCGAAATGGCGCTTTATTCGCGAGATAAAGAGCGAAATATAATGAAAAGACACTGGATCGCGCTCATGCTGTTAACGAATATTTCGCTATAAATTACCTGTTCAATGTAATTGGTTGTTGAAAAACAGACCACAATTTTTTGGATGTGTGTCGAGTTCCGTTTGAATACACATTCCTCCATCCACTCTCCAAGTCTTACTCTGAAAAATTTTCATCGTGCACTGGTATTTGTTTTCATTTCACGCCAAATCCCCGAAAAATCGGACCGATGATCCAAATTCTCATCTCTCTCTCTCTCTCTCTCTCTCTCTCTCTCTCTCTCTTCGAAACTAAAATCCGCATAAATGCAAATAAAACGACCTAAACATGCTGGCGACTGAATAACATTGTATCTTTTTGGTTTTTATACCTTATTTCAATTTATGCTCATCATAAAATGAATAATTATCTTTATTTATTCCATTTTCGCTCTGGCGCCTCTATTCATCGACGTTGTATAACAAATTATTTGAAATCACCTGCAGAAAATAAAAATTCAATGAAATTGCTCAGACATTTGGTATTTTGTCGGCCTCTGCCAACGCCAAAGTGTGTATTTTATAATTCTAGCGAAATAGCGCAAAAAAAAACGCATACCAAAATAAAATAGACATCAACGTTAACATTCATTGTTTCATAAGTCGATCGCAATGGGCTATATAAATGCTGTGAACCATGAATAATATATTTGTAATGTCTGAAGTGGCGATCAGACGCCTTTTCAATCGCAAATAATAATTTAATCCAATGCTTTCGATTTGGCACAATCGCCCTTGTTGATGAATGGTCCGCATTGTTTGGTGCTTTTTCCATGCCAATCGATTTTTAATTGTTTATTCAGTTATTTCCGTGCAATTATTATGTCCCAATTTTGAAATAAAACGTAAAAATTTTCCAGTCACTTCTTATTTTTCCATTTCACTTGAAAATAAAACCACACACAATTTTCGTTCATTCGAAAGATTTTTTGTTTTGTTTTGTTTTCATTTCTTAAAAATAATTATAGAATTATTTTGCCGTTGCCGTCATTTATTTTGCTTACATATCTATTGTCGTGAGAAAGACAGACGGCTCCATTTACACCAATTACATTTACTTACAAATAAATGAATAATGGTGAACAACCGGATGTGGCAAATCATAAATTGTATTCAAATTCAAATTTTTTGAACCACTCTATGCATGTCAGCCAAAGCGAAATCATATCACACGCTCTTCCACACTCGTGACGCAGGAAATCTAAATGTGTGTTATTTTTATGCATTCTCTCTCACTCTCTCTGTTTGCTTTCTATTTATTTTCCCAAAGATTTCTTTATTTTCTCATTTCACCAAAGAAATTTTAATGAAAAGAAAAATGTATGGATTTTTAACGTGATTGTTGACGTTGGCAATCCACGGAACTTCTTTTTTTTATACCCCTAAGATGTCTACAGCCAGATTATAAGTTCGAGTTGTAGAAGCGGGAACGATTTGCCTTCGCAAACATTGTAGAAGAGAAAAAAAATTATATTGTATCGTTTTCAGAACCATATAATTTTCGGATTGTGTAAGTTGAGTATACGTTATTTCATTGTTGCATGTTCACTTATTCAGCCTTACGTCTTTCTATTCTTTTGTTTATCCTCACCTTTCCTTCGCGTCTTCGGCAAATATAAGGTTGTTATTGTTTTTTATTAGGAGGCATGACATTTTCAAATTCTTTCATGTTTTCTTTTTGCGCGCGCTCACCAGCTCCAGAGAAATTTTCGCTCATTTTCCTGTCGACAAGTTTGTTACTTTCGTTTCTGTTCTCTTTTTTTTCGTTTGAAAAAGAGCAAGCAATTTTATTGCGATTACGAGCACTGAACTGTATCCACACACTTTAAGCTATAGATCACAGATACAAGGTAAACAGACACTACGGACAGTGGAAAGGAAACTTCTCGTGACCGGCGACGTATAACCACTGCAGAACAACCCAATGGACTCAAACAATTGACTGTTCAGTTTTAGCGCCACACAAATTGTTTTTTATCGCACTGAAATTAGTGAGTGGTTTATACAAACCATACACATCAAATTAGAAAATTATGCATAATTTTCGGCTGTGCCGTGTATAAATATCCAATTATCAACAATGTTTCAAACAGAATTTCAGTATCCACCCCATCTGGTTTTTTAAACGATGACTTGGGATGAGGTTATTATACTAGAAAATTGAATCAGCCACTTAAAATTATTCGAGGGCCGCGCCGCAAGAATTGCTATGAATGGAAATATCTTTTTAAGTATTACTTATTATGAAAATTGAACAAACTGGGAAAAAAACGCTATGACTTCATGATAAAAAAAGACGCAATTGAAAGGATTTAATTGGAATTTGTATATAAACAGTTGGAATTGATTTGAAACAAGAAGAGACTCGATTGTTCGAAATATGCACGTTTTCTTTTATTTCAAATTTGTTTTTCCGGACTTTTCGAAAGCGAAGAAAGAAGGATTATCTGCTTAATTAGTATTCATGACATCATTGTACTGCTCACGTTGTACTGCTCACGGGAGCCTTATTGTTTGAATTAATTGACGGTAACGCAGGCATTTAAGTGAACGTGGTTTCCGATGTCAGGCTGCTTCACTTCTACGTTTAGTGTCCGTCCGTATGTTTTTCGGTGATGCATTTCTTATGAAACGTTTTTCTCCTACCACAAACCAAAAATTCATATTTCAAATGTCGAAAATTAGATCTTGGCCTTTTGGGAAAATTCAAGTTTAGCAGGTGTTTTTGCTCGTGAAATGAACATTGTGATTTGATATTTTACATTTCGTTTTTTTTTCTTTCTTTTTTTCGAGTGTGAAAAGAACGCAAGATAAAAGCGTGTTGATGTCTGGAAAATGTGGCTCCAATTTCAGATCCTCCCTCTGAACTTGATCCGATAATTTGTGTGATATCTTAAAACTAATTCCACTAATAATTATTTTCACATCATTTTTGAACACGGAATTGTGTCATTTTCGATGGTTTGAGTTTGTATAAAATACGAACGTGTCTCATTAAATAACGAGATTGTTTAAAATTGCGGAAGAAATTGGACATTTATAGTGATCCTTTCTGAAGGATTACCGCCGGAATAATGAGAAAATGTTTGAAAAAAAGATGCTCCAAAATAATGCATAATAAGCAAGATAATATACGAACTAATAAAACCGAGCAAATACGCAATGTGAAGAAAAAAAGGAAAACAGAAAACGTAACACCAGTTATGGAACTCATTTTGTTTGGATTAAAATTCCATGGCGTTTACACACTTGTTACCAGTTATCCAATATTTGTGTGATGTGAGTTGGTTTTGATGGAACAAAAAGTGGTTGGGCTTGTACACGCTGGCAAAGAAGATGCCCGGCGTTGAATTTAACGATTTTCGAGCTGTTATTTGAACATGATCATGGATTTTAATTAGTGTTGCGTGCAACATTGATAGTAATGACTGTGTCTCAGCAGTCAGCAGAAGTACTTGCGTTGCGCAAATATAGCTGAAGTACAAGAGGTGTTATGATTATTATTATTTCTGTCCGCATTGGCATTTTTAAAATTGTTTTTTTTTCGACGGCTTGAATTTCTTTTTTATTCATCTTCGGTCGTTTTTTTTTCTATAAAAAAAGCGCTGGCAAATTTATTTTATAAGGGATGTTAAAGTATCGCGCACATGTTTTTCCGTTTGTCACACATTATTGTGTAGCTCAAGCACTGGTTTTGGCTTGTGCCGTAAAAAAGGGAAAAAAACTGCTCATAATTTAATGGAATGCTTTGCGTTTGCCATTTTACTCTCACACATTTTTATAACCATTGTCGAGAAAAACAAACATACAAAATTAGTTCGTTTTTTTTCTGCTGCTTATTGTACCACTGAAATGTCGCTAAAAACGATGACAATGATGGTGTATAACCAACACATTCTGCTTCATTTTACAAGTAACTACCCGAAAATTTTCTGTCTATTCCTTGAAAACTAATAACCGTATTTTATAGCTTTTATAAACAGTCGCGCTGACATTTGAAAATTTTTTGTGCCAACAAAAAGGAAATGCACCCCACCACCGAATTGCTACGGAAAAAAGTAGCTCGTAAAATTAACATTTAATATATCCGAGTGGAAGGAGAGAGACATTCTATTCGCTCTCATCATTCCGATAATAATAATTGTTTAAAATTGTCTTTTTCCTCTTTGTGTCTCCCCTTCCCGCTTCATCTTTATGTATGTGACGTGATGTTTTGGTGTTTTGGGCGATGCGCGCACTTGGATACAATATTCCAAATCCTGTAGCAGCTGATCCGAATTTCGTTTCACCAATTGCGAATGTTACAGTTCCGGTTGGAAGAGAAGCCGTTCTAACTTGCATCGTTCATGACCTATATACATACAAGGTAAGAATAAATGTAAAACTATCGTTTGCTCGCGCGTCCGTTCGCGCGCACACACACACAGATTTCATCGTCTGCAAATCATTGCTGAATGTTTGTCATCTCCGTATCACTCAGTCAGAAATATACGATTATTGCTGATGCAAATGTTGAGACTGTTGCATGTCACTTTTCATAAAGCTAATTCTTGACTTTATTATGCATACGATACGTAATATGTTGACATAAAATTGCATGTAAATTGAAAATACCACATTTGTTTAGCAAAACCTTTAGTCAACATTCACTTCAAATTGCAATCACAACTGCGAACGAATAAAGTCAATTTTTATGTTTTTTCGATGGTGGCAAGACATTTATTTCCTATTTTTTTTGGTATGTTTTTATTATCATCATCGAAAATCTCATCTTGCAATTCCATATCATTGCATCCTGTCACGGTTAAATATTTGGATGGAATTTTTGTCATTTTATCAAACATTCTGCAGATTTGATGTGAACATTCTTCGAATGCAATGGTGCTTTGTTTATATTTATTCTGCGAAAAAGATATAGAGAAATGGATAGTTGGAAGAAAATTGTTTCAATTTTTGTAAATTTTTCTTTCGTTTTCGTTGCATTTTCCTCTTCAGATTGTTTATTGGTCGATTATTTTTGATTTTAGGTGGCATTTTTGAGGGTCGACACTCAAACGATTTTGACTATTCAAAATAACACGATCACAAAAAATCATCGAATCGGCATAACGCACACCGAAAATCGAATGTGGCAATTGCGGATACGCGATGTTAAAGAATCAGATCAAGGATGGTATATGGTAAATTTTGAAAGAACCAATTATATCCCATTCATTTTGATACAAAGAATTTTCACAAAAATTGAAAGTGAAAAAGAAACCAACATAAACAAATTTGTTTTCTTCAAACTTTTCGCTGTTTAGTGCCAGATCAACACGGATCCGATGAAATCGGCGTTGGGCTATTTGGCGGTTGTGGTGCCACCGGATATCATCGATTATGACACAAGGTAAAAAACACGAATTGCATTATAAAACAATATTTATAACACATCTCATTTTGAAGTCACGACATGACTGTCGATGAAGGCCAAAACGTGACTTTGCACTGCGAAGCAGTGGGATTGCCTGAGCCTACCATTGAATGGAGACGCGAAAGCAAAAAACCATTGATGTCGATCGGAAGCGAAGAAAGTTTGTACACTTCTTAATTTCACAAAGTAGCAACTCAAACAAAAAAAACACACACACAAGTTGTGTTGAAAATTTACTCAAGTTGTTTGTTGTGTCCCCGCAAACATTTCACCGCCTCTTCTTTCCTTATTTTTCCTCCATTTTTTTGTAGTAATAATCAAATTACAGTTGTTTATAATTGGTTTTGTTGTGACTACTTTTCAGCAATGCTGAATAATTTGTCGTATTCATTGTTCAATTTCGATTCGACTTTTAGTTGTTCAATTTTTTTTTTCGGCCACTTCTTTTGATGACGATTATTTAATAATTTCTTTTTCATATGCTTTACATTCGATGCGGTTGCGGTTCGAACTTTTTTGTATAGTTTTTACAATCAAAGGATCAACATTAATGCTACGACATGCGAATCGACATATGAATGGCGCTTTTCTTTGCATTGGTACGATTTGATTAAATCCAAATATTTTATTCCCATAAATTTCTTTATGTTTTTTTTGCTCATGATTTACTGTATCTTCAGCTTCGAATGGCGTGCCACCAACCGTATCCAAACGAATTATGCTTGCCGTCAATTGTAAGTTTTCCCATTCATTCTCATTGGCGAAAAAAAAATGTGTTTCAACAATTTATCGAAAAATTCCTTCATGCCGATTTATGTTTATTATTTTTCAAATATATGTTCACTGCGTCAGTTGCACCGACGATTGTTGCACGACAAGAAAAGGTTCATGCTTCAATTGGTCAAAAGGTTGTTTTGGAATGCATTAGCGAATCGCATCCCAATTCCTTCAATTATTGGCTGGATCCAAGTGGCAAGAAAATTATACAAGGTGAGTTTCAATTCGACTCAGTTCACATTCTTCTACTTGTATAATTGCATACAGACGGAAAAATACTTTTCGCATAGTTTTCGTTCTAGTGAATTTTAAAGTATTTTCTCTTTTTTCCTCTCGCTCCCCCTTGAATACTTTGCATAAACAATGTGTTGAATGAATTTTGATATGTAGGAAGCATATATGAATCGATGACGATTGATTGCGTATTCAGAAACACGATGAAACTTGTCGTACGACTGTACGACATTGATGACTTTGGTGCTTACAAATGTATCGCAAATAATACATACGGAGAATCCGAGAAAGTTATTCATATTCATCGTAAGTCATATCATGGGTTATTTTCTTCATTCGTTCGGGTATGCTTTGTCAGTTTGACATTTTTCATTTCATCCTCTTTCCACAACTAGATTTCGACAGACGTGATGCACGAAAATCTGTGCTAGTAAATCAAGTGGAAAGTACTGAGTTCTTTAATAGCGGTGAGTTTTTATTGAATTTTTCAAACAACAACTTGAAAGTGAAAGGTCAATGGTTCATTTTAGATATAAGTAAATTGCAACAAAATAACGCCAGTGATCATTTGAAAGAGTGTGTTATAGAATATTTAATATCAAATTCGGAAATTTACTATCGAACACACTTCTTCTTCATTAGAAGTTAAGTCTAAAAAATGGAAGTTACTGGCAATGGTATATCATTGAATGTAGAAACATGAAAATGACCTCAGCACAAATACACCATTGCATTTCTCAAGTGGCTTAGAATACATGGAAAATGATACTAAAGTGAATTTTCACTGAAAGGCTTGACGTCTCCTTTTTCTGTGTGTAGGTCTGTTTCTAATGTAAACATTCTTTTAACAGTTGTTGATGTTTCTTTCACGACTAATTTCTAGTAATTTCTGAAAGTTCTTCAAATTACTTCGTTTTTACACTCCTTCACGTTCAATTTTCTTATATTTAAAACTCTGTCTAAATGACACCTTTTGTTCTAAAAAAATCGTTATACTTTGTCTTCCATTCGAATATCAAATATTCGATTTATGCATCGATATTTTTGAACAGCACTCGTTGTTACTTTTTTCACACATTCAAGTATCTTTTTTTATTTTCCTATTTAGAATTCTTGGACTCTCAATATTATGAGCCCGGCGGTTCTGCGATAACGCCGTCAATATCATATATGTGCATTGCATTACTCCTTTCAATGTTGCTATCTTCATCATGACTGCATTTTTCGTCACTCATCACTAGAATTTGAGGCAAATATTTTATCGCTGCATCGCATCGCTTATCTGAATGTAACGTAGCCAATAAGTAATAAAGTAATAAATGAGTGTAAATCGCTCGACTAAAATACATTAGAAAACCAAGCAAAATATAATAAATATGCATAGTGTGTACATTTAAATAATGATTTTAATTCATTAAAATGAAGAATTGTAGCTGCATTTGATGGATATTTTAATTTTTATTCAATAATCAGCATAATTTAATTGATATAATTTGTTTATTTTTGGTTGTAAAAATTGCCAATATTGCAAAAAAAAAATTTCATTGATTATTTTCATTGCGATTGTGACGATTCATGAACTCATCAAGAATATTGTAGAATGGCCTTTTATATTAACAAATATCGTATAAATAAAATAAATAAAAAACACCATTAAACAAAACAATGAAACGATGCATTTTGTTTTTGCATGTTGCAAACGCATTCACTGAAATCAATCGTTAAATTGTTTCTTAATTTGGATATCTTATCTTGGCAAGCAAATCTTAGCACTGTTATTTTAATCGCTTTAAAAATGAAACTTGAGACCACACAAACATGGAATATTTTTGGAACATTTTTTTTCGGCTGACTGTGCTGAAGTGAAGAAGAAGAGAAAACGATTTTGAATGAAACGAACCGCATTCGTATTTGAACCGTCGGACGAGAAAGGTTTTTTGGACGTGGTGCTCTGTTCGGATTTTATACTGATATATATTTCTATACTGATACAAAAATATAAAATAAAACTAAGTCTGTGGATAATTCAAAAATAAATTCAAATCACTTGGAGTTGGAATCGAAGGGCTACAATTGGAACTGAGGTAATTTATTAATTAGAAAAAAAATTGTAAAGTGTCGAATGTTGCTTTTCTGTTGATTGAAACCCCGAAGTAATTTCGTTCAACTCAAATTGGAAAGAGTTACCGAGAAATGGCAAATACTCGTACTTCAAAATATAATCAAAAGTCAATTATTTCTGAAAACAGCTTATCGTGCTTCCTTTCATCCGAAATTTCATTAATTCTTTCCGTTACCAATAAATTAAATCGAATCGCTGCAAAAAAACTTCAAATATTCTCGTTAAGATGTCGCTACAAATGAAATTCATGTTCGAAATGCGATTGGAACATTTTGACATTAGAATGAAATCACATGTGTTGTTGTCTCGCTTGTACTACTTAATATTGTTGTGTTTGCTGTTCTCTCATGGATAGTGGTGAAAGCGAGTGTCACTAACAAACCCATAATCAGATGATTTCTTATACACATGTACGTAGTTTAGATCAGCAGTTAACTGGCATTGGTTGAGCGTGTTTCAAGCAACTAAAAAGTAATAATTTATACAAACTCTCTCTCTTTCTCTCATTCATCATTCAAATACACAGAGTTTATAGTCAATCAACTGTAGAATTGTACTCCTTTTTTGTGACTGAAACAGGAGCATTGATTTTACATATATAAATAAATGTGTATTGTGTGTGCGTGTGTAGAAAACGGAAAATGTTTTAAATCGAATGATTTGTGTGAGCATAACAGAGAGAAAAATTGAGCAAACAAAATCCGTGCTGTGGGCGATTGAAATAGTGCGACTTTTGTAGAGAGTGTAAGCGAGAACAACAGTAACTGAGAGAAGAGAGAGTTTTAATCTCGAAAAAAAAAAAATCAACATAAATTCGACTAGTTGGAATATGTTAAAAGTTTTGAGGTTAACTACAGACAATCTACGAAATTTTTCACTGTTCCAGTTCACAAAGCTATTCAAACAGGCAGCAGCGAATCAAATTTTACACAATACAGAAATTGAAAACGCAACAACAATGTCAGCAGCAGAAACAAATGGATCTTCAGTGAAAACGACAGCACCTGCCACGGCAAAAACACAAAATCTTGATGGAATCGTCAAATTTCTTGAATTGCTGGGCAATCTCAAAGTAAGTGCAACCAATTTTAATTCAACCATTTTTGTTCAGTGTCATCGATCGTCGATGAGAGAATAAAAGAAGAACATTGCGGAATTGAAATGATTGTGATGACGCTGTTTTAAAAGTGATGATATTGTTTTATATATATTGAATGTTTTGTATGTGAATGTTATCGATTATAACTCGTGTTCACTCAGCTGACGTCTTGTGTGCTCATTGAATTTACATTTTTAATTCATACACATTTGTAATAAAATATATATATAAAATAAGAGTGTCGGCCAATTTCAAGGCTAAAACAAAAGTTTTACCTTGATCGCGCGCGCGTTTCTTACAAAATTAACAAAAAAAAAAACGTTTTGTCACTGAATCATTATATAATGAACTTTGAAGCGTCGAGACTGTGTGCTTCCGAAAAAATGAATTTGTTGTTGTCTTCGCTGTATGGCGTATTGACTACGAATTCTGGTTGGTGCATACATCGACCGTATGCACCAACATAAACAAACCCATTTCTATATGTACAAACACTTGAGCGTATAATTTTTCTACCGCGTAAAGAATGAAACTAAATGATAAAAGTTTTTTTTATTCATTTTATCAAATGGATTTGTTTGATCAATTATTTTTTTTTTGTTATTCCTTTTGTCTAAATTTAGCATTTGAAGCGAACAGGCTGGGTTTTGCGTAATGTAGGTGACTGTGAAACCATTGCCGGTCATATGTACCGAATGAGCGTGATGACGTTCCTTTTGGATGGCAAAAGCGACTTGGATCGAACGAAATGCATGGAATTGGGTATGTCACAGTAATCACTCTGATTTTAATCACCGTCTGTCAATTTACTGAATCGATTGCATTGAAATTAAATCAATCATTCATTGTTATGTCTCTCCATAATTAGCATTGGTACACGATTTGGCTGAAGCTATTGTAGGTGACATAACACCTTATTGTGGCGTAAGTAAGGAAGAGAAGAAGCAGCGTGAAATGGATGCAATGCAGGAAATTGCGAAATTAATCGCGCCGCGAGGACAGCGTCTCATGGAATTGTTTGAGGTATGTTTGACAGCATAGTACTTTTTTTGTATTATTATGACTCTTCATTTTTGTTTCTATCTTCATTTGAGATACTCGGGTCTTTTGTTTATAATGACAACAGTCTGGCTTTGTCATAAATCGATATGTGTACAAAAGTCATTTGGTTAATAGTGCCAGATAAGCGCTTACCAAGCAATTTTCTACTGATAACAACAAAGGCTGTTGTTAAACTTAAGCAGTCATTGGCTTTGCTTAAAAACGTGCCAAAATTTCTGTATGTTTCGTGGCTTTTGTTATCAATATAACAGCAAATTGATTGCACGACCTCTGTATATGACTAAACCGGAATTGAAATCAGTGTGTATTTTTTTCGTTCTGCTCTATATATTTCTTTCGCATTGCTCATATAATTGCGAACTTCACTAAATCATTTCATAAACTTCTCGCTTGAATTGGGTTACACGATGAGAATGATCGCTCTATTTGAAAGACATTTAAAATGTAAATTTATACTGCGACATATCTATCTATAGAGTGTATGACTTAAAATAAAAGTCACTTGAAACATCTAAATACAAATGGCTCGTCATTTGCAAATGATTCATTAATTTGCTAGAATGTGACGTTTACTAAGTTTGTGCAATGTATTTCATTCGATGGTCTCGTTTAATGCTGACGAATGTCAAAGAATGTGGAAACAATTCCGATATTTTTATGCACACTCGACACGAATAAAGTGCAGAGAAGAAGAAACACGAATCATAATATATAATCCAACTATTTCCCACAAAGTAACTTTAAATGAATCGAATGTTTACTTTCAAAAAGGGTAAATGAAGACAGATAATCACATAATGTGCTAAAATATCAGTAATTTGTCTGATTTTCATTGGGAACAAAAAGAGAGAATACAATTGATTGCAAATTGTCTGGCATTTTATCTGTTATTTGCTCCGATTTTCTGATAACATATGATGAAATGATCGCGTTTTGTAGGAACTATAATGAGTGCACAAATGCACGTGAACGAGACTCACAAGTCACAATAATCGTTTGAATGCATTTTGTTATCGTTGTTTGGGTCAAGATATTTTGCATTGTGTCGCGTCAGAAATCATAATAAATTTAATGAAGAGCTGATAAGCCAAGTGTCCCTCACTTATTTCCTAATTTGAAAAAGAAGATGGTTTTAATTGAGAAAAAAGATCTAATGAGTTTGTTTTTGTTTTTTTTTTCTTCTCGCAGGAATATGAAGAGAATCAAACGCCAGAATCGAAGTTTGTGAAGGATTTGGATCGATTGGATTTGGTGATGCAGGCATTCGAATATGAAAAGCGTGACAATTGCATTAAAACGCATCAGGAATTCTTCGACAGCAACGACGGAAAATTCAATCATCCGCTTGTCATTGATCTCGTCAATGAAATAAAAGCGCAACGCGAATCAGCCGCTGAAAAAGACGAAAAACAACAGCCAAACCATGCATCAGCCAACTCAAGTTGATAATCTAAAATCCATCACCATGTCTTCTCTCCTTCCCTTGCTGTTCACAATTTAATAATTACCGTGCGCTGCTAACAATTTTCGATTTACCTTCACTGAAATATAAACATGGGCCAATATCTTCAATCAAACAAACCACAACGCGAACTTATTATTATTTTCTTCAAAATTTATTTGTTTTAGTTTTTATGTTCCGTAGAAAATAGGAGAAATTCGAAAATGAGCTCTTGCACCATTTTTGACAAAGCGCCTTCAATATAAACAACCGAATGGTTAAAATATACATTATTTCTCAGTATTTTATTTCGTCATGTTTCTTTTACTGCACATAGAGTGTACTACGTAGGATTGTAGGCACTGTGTATTTACGAATATTCGAATCATTATGTTTCTTTGTTAGTCAGATTTTTGCTTCACAGTCATAACTCACAGTTTCTAATGTGTTTTAAGTGAATGTTTCATTTTTGTTCTGACAAATTATTATTTTCTTTGAATTTTAATGTAATACACGGTGTATTTTAGTTCATCCATTCGAAGTAAATGCATAGATAAACACGAAGTTTTCATTCGATAAGCTTAGCGATTATAATTTATTGAAATACTTAAACATCAACAGAATGAATGTTATCATTTTAATTGTTTCATTCAATCGAAACAAAATTGATAAAAGAAATGTTACCGATTTTTAAAATAAATACATATTCACACATAAGAATGGCGAAAATTCACATTTATTTTTTATTATTTTTTCAAAAAAAAATTATCAATATATATGGAATAAATTATAAACAGAAAAAATATAAACAAAAATGGCTTTGATTTAAAATTATTCATGAAAATTATTATTAGTATTTTCATACATTTTAATGATAACAATGAGTGATATAAAAATGTTTTTGTTTTAATAATTTATTTAGCAGCACTTTAAAATACGAAAAAAAACTTAAACTTTCAAACAAATCTTACAATCAAAGTTCAACGACCAAGAAATATTCTAGAGAACAATTTGGCGTATTTCAAATATTATTAACATATTATTTTTGAATTAAAAATTAAATGAAATAAAACCGCTAACTCCAATCAATTCAAATCAAACGAAATAACGTTTCAATCATCACATTTTGCTATCTCAACATAATAATGGTGTTTTTATTTCGTTTGATTTGAATATTATTTTTGTTTTTTGTGTTTTTTTTTTTCATTCAAACAAGAGATTGAATTTTGTGAAAGAAATTTCTTTGGGATCTGTAGATAAATATTTTGAATGTATGGATAGAAGCATTATTTGAATTCATGAAAACCGTCCGTCTCCACTTGGGATAAAACCCCGTGAATGAAGCTTTCAACATGAATATATCAAGTTAATTTTGATGCGAAACCACGAAAGAGAACTGTTGGAAAGTTCTGTATAGTTTTATATTTTTGCATATACAGAGACAGCATTCAAACCTTCCCAAACCATTGGAAAATGAAAATATTTCAAACATTTTTATCGATTAGAAAAATTAAAGTAGTTGTTAGTCGAATTTTGATAAGAGAGCAATTAATATTTTAAGCATTAGATAATATCAAAATACAAAATGGTACTTTCCATACAAGATTTTCAAATTTTTACTGGTCATAAAGCAATCCAAGAAGCAATCAGTGTCATTCCTTTATTTTCGAAGCATTTGATAATCCTCCTAGCAAGCATGACTATATTTGAATATTTTTAATTTATTAAAACCGTCTCCATTTGGGATAATATGTGTACAATAATTTAACACCAATGGAACCGCCAAACTAAGCAAGCATTTTATGATAAAAAAGGATTCAATGGTAAAATATTAGCAGATGTGGTCGAATGGAACATGCATAGAAAATTAATCATTCAATATTACAAAAAATACCATTCACAATTGTATGTGCAAGTTTTTTTAGCTCCAACTACGATGAAGACTTACTTATTGCCAACGATGTGTATGAATAAGATGCGGTTCCTAAGTATAATGCTGTAATGAAATAAATGCCCTTATAGGGTGTTCTATGATTCCGTACCAATATTTTACCTTCCGTTGCGTTATTTAAAAAAATGTTTTACTATATAACGATTGTTGCTACAATATTATGAGCAAGTATCACGTTATGTGAATTCATTCGCATTTAGTAAATTCAGATGGAAAGAACATTATTGAAGTTCACATTTAGAATCACCACATCAACCGTTTGATTGAATGATGATTTTAAACTGGCGATTTTACTTTTCGATTCGATAAAAATAGAATTAGGAAATTTGTTTTTGTTGCAATGCAATGCAATGTAAAACCAGGTTAATCAATAAATTAGTTATTAATAAATAGTTATACATAAATCTATATTATTAGATAGAACACATATTGTGCTTTCACATAGCAATAACTCAGAAGTATAGACAATGTTGGTATTTGTACAGCATTGTTTTGACTGTTGATGTAATTGCAATGTATCGTTAAGACTCATATGAAATACCAACACATTTCCCATTTGGATTGTTCGTGCTACGAAATGTTTTAGTTTTCTATAATTCACAATTTGCATAAATTATCATTTGAACACTTGAAATACAATGGCTTTCGCGCCTGTTTCGGAAAAATATTTCAATAAAATTGAGCACGCTAACCGAATCCTTTTTAAATACATTAACCTTCGTACGAACATTTTGATTTCCCTCGATGATACCAAATATACTACACTAAAAAAAGACTATGAATAGAAACAATGGCATTGAAATATGAAAATTATACCTGTTCAAAGACCAAAAGTAGCTCATTTTCGCCTTAGAAATTTCTTTCTTAGTATCAAGTAATCCCTTCATTCTCAAAATGGTGATATTATTAAATATGGTAAAAGACAATTTCACACCGAATTTTATTGGTTTTATTAGGTACAAAGGAAGAAGTCAAACAATTAATATTGTCTGTCCGACAGTGCAGACAATGTAATAGAGTAAATTTTCATTAAAAATGTACCTCAACGGTCATTTCTCGGAATAATTAGCTTCAATACATTGTTGAAGTGAATTTGAGGTATGCTTTGCTTCGTTATTTGATCATTACAGTGATGGCATGCATCCATATAGAAAAAATTAGATTATTTTTGAATTCGGGTCAACTCATTAGCAGTTTGTTCTGAATCCCGACAGTTTGTTCTGTCATTATATTATTTTCTATTCAATACATTTCATTTCAAAATGACCATCTCCACTTGAGAGAGAAAGAAATTCTGAATTATAGTACATGAAGGTTGAAGAGTCTAACATGAACGGGGGCGCCAATATCTCGAGAAGGTTTGTGATACAAAAGTTAATCTTAAAACCGTAAATAAAGTAAAAAAATCAAAAGTCCAAAAAAATCAGCCAATACAAAAAATGCAGACAAATCAATTTCATTTTTTTCTGCCTTTTGCTTGTCTATTCATGGATTTTATTTGCAATTCAACAGATTAATAGAAGAATTTCGACTGGAACAAGCATTGCATTCAACACCTCTTAGCAAATAGAAAAGTCCAAATGAACTTGAATTATGCAACAATTCATTATTTTTTATTATTCCAAAATCAAGTATCACAAGTAACAAAATTATAAATACCTATCTAAGTTCATATCTCTAACCGGTCGGTTAAGATTTATAACTTCTCAATGATTGAGTTGAGATCAACCTCTTTCAATTGATTTTTTCTTCAAGAGATTTGTTCCGTTCGATGAAACAATTTGCATTACAATGGCTATATTACATACTATATTCCTCTTACGATAAATAATTAATTAGCATCATTGGAATATCATGAATTGGAAAAAACCACCAATCATTTACAATGTTATGTTTATTTGAGAATTGAAACAAATCAAAAGACTCTTTCACGATAATAGACTAATGATAATTGAAAGCGTTTGCATTTCATTTGGTTTATGTTGTCGGTTTTCTTTGCTGAATCGTTAAACCGTGCACTCTCCAGTTACAGAATATTCACAACAAGTCACGTCGAAGCATTTATTCATAAAATGAAATATTAACATTGGATCGTTAACGTTGTTTGGCCATGTACACAACACCGTCTTTATCGTCGTCATTTGTGCACAGACAAAAGGAGTAGAAAACTAGTTACATGAGGTTGAGCGCTTCATAAACCATTTTGTAAGAAGGAGAAATGGTTGAATTTGACATGTGTTTACGATTTGGCTTGTATGAAGCGGGCCGCGCATGGCTGCACGGTGTGTGCATTGCATAAACATAGACCAAGAACACGGTTGGAACTCATTTTCTTTGCGATCTAATGTGTAAAATATTTTGTGTTTTATGCTTCTCTTTTGTGAGAAACACGATGATTTATATGTTCGTAATTATGTTTTATTGGCTTATTATTTAAATTAATTTTATAGCCAGTTGTTTTTCGATCCACATTTTTACCATATTTGCTATGTTTTAGCTCTCGTTGTCTCTGTTTTCAACTGGATTTCTTTGGTTTTTTCTCTGCTTATTGTGTGTGTTTGGTTTTGAATGCGATTTTACACACCATATTATTAACGCATAAAATTGTTATATTCATCTCGGTCCGTGTGTATATTTCCCATATATTCTATATGTGTGTGCTTTTTTCTGTAGTTGCTCTATGCGCAGTTGAATTAATTGAATGAGTGTTTGCGCCCGCGCTCGCACATTATATGCCGGTATTTTATCGAAAACAACCTTTTATAGAGACGTTCAATAAATTTTCAGCTGGTTTTTACTGTCTATCTATCTCTCGTATATGTCATTCAACAGCAGCAGCAGCAGCGACGCAGAGATCGTTTCACAGAGCTTCTTTAAATTGCATTGTGTGAGCCACATAAAGAAAGTAATCAACACGCGGATAATTGGACATTTAAAATGTTAAATTAACTATGAATGTGCTTGCGCATAACACTGTAAATGTGTTAACGTTGACGGCGTTGGCATTTCATTTCATTTCTTCTTTGTGTCTCTGGTTTTCGTTTTCTCTCCTTCTCTCTCTCTCTATTTCTTTCCACCTTTCTCTCTTCACAATTTCTCGTTTAGATTAGAAATTGACACGAAATTAATTACATTTTATTGCATGTTTTATTATCACTGTGCGCAAACGAGCAAATGCGCGCACGCGCATTGTATACGATTTAATGTGCAGTATGGAACGATTTACCGCTACTTTTACTCTATCTCAACTCTCGATCTTTCGGCTTCTGTGGCGTTGTGCTTTATTTATTTTCAACGTTTGCCTTACTTTGTTCCAAATAAAACGAAAGAATTAGATGTATTACGTATCAGATACTAGTGTTTGCCTTCAAGCTATACAACGCTAACAGCATTTATTCGTTAAGCATTTGGTTGAATTCTATCTTCCTCTTATTATTTTTTTCTCCTTTCTTCCTGTGCTCCAAATGTTGTTCTCACCAAATTCGCTCATTTCACAATATTGCAACTAAGTAATGCATTGTGTCAGTTGGTTCTTCTCTTAAATCTTTCACTTTGCGGTTGCGGTTTTTTCAACTCTCTGTGCTCATGCTCAAGTGATAATAGGATGTTCATTCAGCACATATTTACATCAACACAATGCATTGATTGCAACTGAAATGCCAGAAGCTATAGTCAAACGAACAATATACAACACATGTACCACCATCATTGATTCACTCCATGCACACACTCATGAATTATGCTTAAAATTGTTCAGACAAAAAGAAACGAAAAAAACACAGCGAACGTCTCTTCTGTTCTCTCTCTCTTTCTCTCTTTCTTTCGACGAAAGAGAAACTACCAAGATCAAAATTACTTCTACGAAATTGAACTTGATTACGTGCATTTAACCAATATATGCTCATTTCATTGTTCGACCCAAAATACTTAACTTTTCATTCGAAAACAAAAACATTTTGCTGCTTGATTATAAAATAACCACCGATTAATTTCGCTTTTTCTTTCAACAAATACATTGTTAGCGTGTTACTTTTTACGTACAAGCTAAACAAATGCCAAACGAGATTTTCAACGTTCTTAGCATTTAACACAATAGAAAACCAAAACATCTCAAATAATAAGGACGGTTTCCGCTTCGAATATTTGGTTCATACTACGAGAAGAAGAAGAGATTCTATGTTATTCAATTTCTTTCATTCATGATCATTATGAAATTCATGGTTAAATCATTCATGAGAACACTTCGTTCGGATTTTTGATACAATTACAAACTGATTTGTTCATTACCCAATTACAAGAAAAAAAGATGATGTTTATTTCACAAAACACGTGTAACATATAATTTAAATGTGTAATCAATCTTAATATAGATGCGTTTGTTTGACGTTTTGTTTCAGTTGACCTAAAGCTTTAAAGTAATTTTAAATATACACATAAACATCTTATAGCCAGCCACTCGTCCAAAACAAACAGATTCTGATGCGAAATACATGTGAATCGGCTCGAATATTCAGAACCTTAAGTTTGTCAAAATAAAACAGCAACATGCCCAATGCCCATACAGTTTTTACACATTTTTTGAGGTCACGAATATTCTAACCGATTCATATAGAAATGTTATCAAGTCGTGACTTGAGATTATTTCCTGCGTAGTTGATGTGATGGAATTTTCGAATAAACGCATGCAAATGCTATTAATTTGTTGTTGGACGTCACGTCACTAAAGTGAAAAATCACATTTTTTAAAAAAAAATTATTAAATTGAAGGATACATGGCGAAATTTGTGAAATGATGAAACGAAGCTTGAATCATAGTTTGGTGAGTATAATAACATCGCAAAAATTAAAATTACCAACTTTCTAGAAATAAAAAGATTATTTTTTCTTTCTCGTGGATTATTTTGTCACTTTTTGTGCTATTTGTGATCATAAATTGTGTGTGACGCACAGGTCTTGTACGATACGGATAAGTCAGGTTTGTGCATTTTTGTTGTAAAAAATACATAAAAAACAAATTTATTATTTCGATGCTCCGTCACATTCTTCAGTTCAAAATGTTTCGCCATTTGAGCTAATAAAGAGACTTTTTAATCGAATCATGTCGAATTCAGGCGAACGTCAAATTTTGATGAATTTGCTGAGTCAAAATTAGTTTAGTGAAAAAGGAAGAGAGTGAAGAGACATTGAAACCAAATCGCATAGATTATTGGAGAATCTGTTTCCCTCAACTTCTTGCAAAACCAAAGTTTTGGAGGAAATAATGGCGCGAACAATATATGAACATGACTAATCATTGGCAAAAGCGATTTGGACGGTTTTGAGAGAGAAATTATGGACATCCATACGAATACTGGCATATGGAATTCGGAAAGCCTGATAATTATACGTAAATATATTCAACAAAAATGATTTCAGCCCAAAGAAATCTCTATAACTTATGATTTTTATTGAATGTTACAGAATTTTAAGTATAAACAACGTTTGAAAATCAAACATAAATTTAGTAGTAATTCAGTTTATAATTGTTTTTTTTCTTGTTTTTTTTTTGAAGAAAATATTATTTTCATTTCAATGATTTTATTCTACATGTTTGTTGACAGAAATAAATTATTCCACAAGTATGCGATAAAGCAAATATGAATACAGACTATTTACTTCAATTAATAGAAAGCGAGTACAAGGACTGTACTTTACTTTGTTCATTGATATTCATCACGATTGTATGCAGTCCGTTCGAAAATAAATAAATACATACTGATAAAGTATAAGTTAATTACATTTGAACTGATTAGTGATTACCACACATCACACTAAATCAATAGTTCAAATAGTGCATGTGATTGATGATTACGAAAACCAAAACATTTCTTATTAAATAAAATGACATTCATTTTACTTTTGATTTGATGTAAAATAACAACGGTATTGAAAGCTATTGAAAACTTAAATAATTGCAAAACTGTTTGCGAATTACAAAACCTATCGAGATGTACACTACCGACCAAATTTTTTTGGTACGATAATCGAGTAGTGAAACTGAGATTTAATGTCTTCAGATAGAACGTGGTCCATACTGTAATCTACATTTCATTCAAATAGAGCAACCATCAGAAATGACTCCGTCATGATCCTCGACCATTGAGAAAAACATAAATTCATATAAATAAAAAATCGTTAGGCTCACCCAAACTTTTGATCGGTATTGTAAATTAACTTGGAATAGAGTAAAACTAATGCACGGATCTAAGTTCAACTCAAACACAATCAAAATCCATCTATTTAGAATAGGTATTTGTACATTATATGTATGCAAGCACTACATATGTTGATCTGAGTTTCATTTTTGAAGCACATTTTGTTATTGTAAAAATATTTAACACGAAGATCAAATTAAAACGATTTCAAAGAAGTAAGTCGAAGTCAATGTTTATTAGACATTATAAAAAAACATTATTCAGTTTGGATGCTAATCGGTTTCACATTCTTCTAATAGTTTTACTGTCATAGGATGTCATGTCTATACGTAGATCATTCCTTCTTAAGTTGTCACCAGACGAGACAAGTTGGTTTCTGGTTTTATCTTATTTTCAAAACAATGACAAAAGAACTCGGGGAAAAACAACACTGTGCGTTTCACTAATACGTGTTGTTTTATGTGTAAAATTTCCAAAAAACGCAAACGTCGTGACGATCGTATAACAATCTTGTTTTGCGATCACTTTTCATAAGCTTGACCCAACTATATATTGAAAACAAATCTCCCTTATACATCACTGAAATATGCAAAAAATCCAATCGTAAAAACTCATGACACAACTTGTTTGAATTTCATTTTTTCTGTTCTGTTCAGTTCATAATCTGCTTTTCTCAGAAGTCATCAGACAAGGGCAAAACAAATTAAGAAACACAAACTACGTCTGTGTGATGTGTATATTTTTTGAAGAAGATTTGCAGCTATATAAACCCTGATACACATTCATTTTCAATCAGTTCGAACCAAAATTCTCAGCTGAACGTTAGAAGTCGAAACATTTAAGACAAAAATTAAAAAGTGATATATTCACCAAAAAATGGCTACAAATATTCTGGTAAGTAGAAAAAATTACTAAATTATTTTGAAATATAGTGAAATTAATTTAAGTTGTGCATTTTCTGTGAACATTTTATTCTATTTTGAATTTTTTCTTCGGCAGCAAATTTTCGCAGCATTGGCTGTAATTTTCGCATCAGTAAATTGTCTTCCATATGGATCGTATGGATCAGGATCTACTCAGGTTGAACAAGTGCACCAAAGTCCTCACGAACCAATTAAAACGCATTATGCACCAACAAAACACGAATCCATTTTACCACATCAACCAAGCTCTGGATATGGCCATGTTGAACCTATCAAAAACCACTACGGACAACCAAGTGTACATCATACTCCAATTGTTCCGCAACGTAAGTATTTGCATATTTTATATTCATAAAATACTCATTGAGATTTTAGCCAAAAAGTCTTATGTCTACAAATATTTATGCAACAAATAAAACTATTGTTGTCTTCATTTATTTGCACGTAGATCCACCAGCTCATGAATCTCCGATCCATTACCCCGTTGAACATCAGCATTCTCATCGTGGATATGAAAATGAGATAAAGCAAAATCATCATCATCATCAAGAACCAGTACACGGACACGTTGAGTCACATAATCCTCACCATAATATCGGACATGAGGGTCATCATCAATCTTCGTACGGTCACAATAGTGGACTTACACATAAAAGCACACAGGGCGGTGGATTAGGTGGTGGATACGGTGGCCATTCAGCTGGACACAATACTGGACACGGTAGCGTCAAAACTCACGGATATTAAAACTCAAAGATAGATTTTAAAACTTCAGTGCTTAGACATTTGATAAATTTTTTAACAATAAACAACGTCTGAG